AACCAATACTATAGCCATGCACATGTCGATAATTGAAAATAATTTCACTGGAATAGCTTTTCTCATTTCAGTTTAGTTGTTGTGTACTTCGATTTTTCGAGATAAACTTCGCTTTAGTGACCTTTCCGGTGAGAGTTCAGATTCGCTGGGCTCTCTTCTATGACAACTGAAGCCAATTGGTAATGGCAAGTGAAGCCAAGCCCTTTCCCGTCAGGTACTTCCATTGCAGACATGGGCGTAGCCAGGTAGGGGCAGGCGGGGTGCTTGAGCCCCCCTAACTTTCAAGTTTTCCCGATATATATGAAAAATAGCAGCCTGAAATGCTAGCTTAATAGTGTCGAGCCCTTATAAATTGTTAAATAGGTTCGATTGAACAAAAGAATTATAGCTGATAAACTAAATAAAAAATAATATTTGGAGACAAATCCAGCCAAACTATTCGCCAAAATTTTGGTCAATGCACCTTGAGTCAACAGGTATCGCTTTTAACAGAGCACAATCCAATGTTAAGGCTTGCCATGATCAGCTAAAAGTTATCGTTGGCAAACGAAATTCAGGGTTATATAAACTTATCAATTATATTATCTTATTATTATACTTATATTATCAAAATTCAAAAACATTAGCTAAAAATATAATTGTATAGGTATATAACCCTTTTGCCCATTGTTTTTGTTTAAGAACAGCATACGATTGGTTAAATTTCAGTATTAAATAAGTTAATAGTAATAATATATTTTTAAATAAGCTAAGTATGAACCAAATAATGACATAAATACTGATTTCCCAAATACCTCCCTCCTGCGCTACCTTTAAGACTATTTCAAATTGCATTGTCATCGGGTTACGAGCTAAGTTTGAAGTTTCAAGTCTCTACCTCATCGGTACCTTGGTCAAATATTGATTGCGAAATTCCAGGACATACCTACTCCATACAAGGGAAGTTAAATAAAAGCTTGTAAAAAAGTGAGAATATTGGCCCAAAACAATCTTAAATCCAGAATTTTAATTCTACATCATTTGGTTCTTGCAGAATCTTAGAATACAGAATTTTGACACTAAATAATTTTAACTGCAAGACATTTTTTAAAATTTTTCCAGAATTTTCGATCGAATGATTTTTGAAAATCAGAATTTACTACCGCTCCCGTTTTTCTAGAAATTTTAGGAAAATGGGGGTGGCATGGGCCAATTATATCATATATGCATATCGCAAAAACTAATTGACCGATCTCGACCAAAATTTGGTATACACATTGTGCTTAGCCTGCTTAAGTACCGTCTTGAATATTTTTGAAGTCGGACAAAGCCTACTCACCCTAAAATATAGCTAGCTTTGAGTTTTTTGAAATTACCATTACGTTGGTGGAGCCCGTGATTTTTGTCCGATTTCAAAAATTTTCAATATGGCTCTTAAGAAGAGATCAATCAAGTAGCTTTTGTGATACACAAATATGTGCCACACGCATTTTCCTAAAATGTCTTGGAAAACGACTTCTTTGCTAAATAGATTTGTATATATCAATTTTTGAATAATAATTGATTAGTTCCTTAACCACGCTGCTAAAAAATCTGAAAGCCCGGCACAAATACAATACAAATTCAAGGCCGTATTTAAGAAAAGTCGTCTAACTTCGAAAATTTTTATGCTTTTGCAATAAGTGAGCTATTAGTTTATTTTAAAATGGGTTCGATTTTAGATAGCTCTATATATATTGAAATTGTGGAAATTATCGATGGTCAAAATTTAAAAAATTAAGAAAAATATGTTTTTTTTTTATTTTATCCGATAAAAAATCCCAACAAGCCAAGTCCGACAATAAATTATAACATACCATTTAAAAGTCCTATATATCCTCTTCTCAGATCATATTCGTTTTTTCAAATCGAATCAAAAATATTCATTCAAAAACTCATAAATCTACAAAATCGTATTTTCTGACCTAAATCGACAGGTCGCGACCTCTAATTGACCTTTAAAAAATCTATAAAATAGGCAATAAAATTTCTCATAAAAACTAATTTGGGGGTAGGGTCTTGAAATTTAAAAAAAAAAACATTTTTGATGGCCACCCTACTGTATATTAAGCAAAAGTTATTGCTAGTACAGTATTCACGACGTTATCTAGTGTGTTCCATTGGGTTCGATAAATCCCATTTAAGACTACGTAATTCATTTTCAGAATAAGAAGCTCTATCAATAATAATAATTGATATTACTTTTACTTATTTATCTTGCAAAAGCTAAGTTTTAAATACATAGCACCTAACTTGTAATTACATTTATATGTCTAGTTGAAAGGTGCGGTTTTGACTTTTAATAATTATCTAGTTGAAGCAGCAGGTGAGTAATGATAATAGATCCCACACATATTATGACATGATTAATAAGCTAGTAATATGTACTCGAGATTTATTAAAAGTCGTATTAAACTTATTGAAAAGACATGTATGTATGTATGTAAATATTCAAGCACGCATACATTTTTGTATTTGTAGATATATGCAGATATATTGGCATATATAGTTGGTTTTCAACTTTTAAAGAAAGCCATCATCAACAAACTTTTTTCACTTGATAAGTTATAATCTCAAAAATACTAAAATAGTATTTTCAAATATTATCATTTAATTAATATCACAAATACCTAACAGTGTTGTGCTATTTTCTGATTGCGTAATTGAATCTCAAATGTATGTCTTAAAATGAACAAACACAAGTTCTACTTTCAGTGCAACTTGAAAAAAAGAAATAAAATAAAAAATTTTTTAACTAAAATTTTGCCGCCCTAGGCACCTGCCTATGTTGCCTTTATGGTAAATCCGCCACTGGGTGCAGGAGTCTTTACAAAATCTTCAGTCGAAGAATCGCGTGCTGTTGATTGTTGGCATCTTTTTTCCATAACTGGTCTCGATCCAAATGTCAAACCACATCCAAAGTAGACGTTTCTTCCAGGCTTGTATCGTTTCTCTGTAGCTGAAAATTTTAGAATAAACTCCGGGACTATAAGCAATATGTGCGGAAAATCAATGTGGGGGTATCTTTTGTGGCAAACCGTCTACTCCAAAACAGTTCTCAATAAGTAATCTATTGGATTCATATCAGGAATGTCCGCGGGCCACTCTTCATAATAAATTATAACTAGCGAATTATTTTCGAGCCAGGATTAGGTTGTTTTAGCTTTATGGGTCGGCGTAGAATCCTGCTCGAAAGTCCACGACTAGTAGCTTTACAACAGCTCCCGAAATGGTTTCTCAGTAAACTTCCGCCGATGTTTTGACTCTTTGTTCGCAGAAATGCAAGTCAAAGACGCCCTTGTAAAAGACACCCCAGTAAACCATGAATGGAACTAAATGATGACCCTTTCGACCCGTGGAATCAGTTCGGTTACTTCCTTAGATGACCACGCATACATGCGATCGATTTTTCTGTGCAAGTTATTCGCTTTACCAAAAGCCATTTGCATTTTTCCATCGCCTCGAAGCTGCAGTCAACAAATGTCCGGTACGGCGTTTGAAGACCCTAAGTCTTTTTAAAAAAGTACACTCATGGACTTTTGTGTGACATTCGTGTCACCCCTTGCCACGACCTCTTGTTCTTGAAGCGATTTTCGCTGAATACTTGGCTTGTCAGCTTTGATGATTCGCGGCGTTCGAACTGTGAGTGGACTTGCCCAACCGGGGCGGTCTTTAACATCTGCAGCCTCCTTAAACAGTTTTAAGCACCGGTCGGACAGAGCGTATTGAAGATGTATGACATTTTTTTATTTCGCACTTAAATAGCGCTAAAGCAGCAATGTGGTTCTCCTTACCAGACCACCCCAAGGTGAAAGCTGAAGCAATTTTGAATTCCCGATACAGGCTGAAAAATGTTATAATGAAAACTAAAATTTGAATATTATATTTTCTCTTAAACTTCTTTAATTTTTGTATGAATTTCTCTACTCGTTCTCATGATTTATTTTCCTTTTGATTCGCAATATTATTGCTAAATTAAAACTACATATGTATACAACTTTAACGAAAAAGCTAAGCAGTGAGCTAACGAAAATTACCGAAATACCACATCATATCTGTTAACCTTTTTATAACACTAGCCTGGACATTTGGACCGGGGTATCACAGACTCCTACATATATCTAGGGCAATAATTGACAGCAATTCCTAGTAAAGCTGATAAACAACAAGAAATTTGAAAGCAAAAAACAAAACCAAATTAATTTCTTCATGATCCAATGATAGAATCTAATCTAAATTAGCATCGGACCAACTTTGCTTTAAAAACGAATTATAGAAATCGGTTAACGTGGTCCAAAGTTATGCGGTAACATACATAAAAAGAACTTTTCCGACGAATTGACAACCTACGCCTCTTTTGAAATCGGTTAAAAGCTATGATGTGATTAATGGATCTCAAATTAAAAGAATATACTTCAGTTTCACTGTAAGAAACCAAAAATATTACACTTTGCGACAAATTTATGACAACTCAAACCAGCCCGAACTTTGTTGTTAACATTTTCTGGAAGTAAAAACTAAACCAAACTCACTTTTCACTTTTTTTTTTAATATTGAGTTTGGCATAGATTTTTTAGAGACTTTTACGCTGAGGCAAGAAGATTTTCCCTGAGAAGACCCCTTGTAAAAATTATCCGAAAAATGATTTTCTAGAATATATCAATCCTCTAGCGAACTTCCAAATTGGTTTTTTTGCGGAGTTTCTTTAAGTAAGTACACAATTTAAATCTTTAGAGTTTAGTTTTATTGAAAAATTCCAAAACAACTAATTCACCACATTACAATAACAGTATCTTATAATTAGATGGAAATTCTTATAGTCGGGACCACGAACCTACGCTGTCATTAATCCGCATTACTGCCGTCTACCAGGGCTCAATTTTGATCAAATCAACTGCGCCGTTTATCCGGATCAACGTTCTGTATATGCTATAAAAAAAGGATATAATAGGGCCATTCCAGCGAAGACGTCACCTCAGGTAAAAACTAAATTACATAAATTGTGTTTAAATATGTAAAAACATTAAAGCAGGTAGAATATGTCTTTAGAAATAAATTTTTATAGATTTATTTTTCAATATTTTCTCTATTTTATTGTTATAAATGCTTGTCTAATATACTGTAATATTTTTGCATCCAGTTTTCAAGGCATTCCCCAATTCATGAACTTGAAAATGGTGGTAAGTTATTAGAAAAATACCTATATGGTGAGAAGTTATCAGCGTTCAAAAAAAATGCATATTGGATATCCCGTCCGTTACGGAAAAATATGTATTTTTTAACGTAACATATAAACTCTTAAGCTTCGTATTGTTCAGATGAGGTCACCTTATTAAAAATATAATAAATATTCACATCTAGCCAGTAGCGTTTATTTTTCTTACGAACTATGTGTCATCAAAAGTGACTAGTCCCAACTCTCACAAAATGTTGTCCCACCCGTGACAAGGTAAATTTTTTATTTATTTTAAAATATAATAATGCCATTAAAGCATAAAATTGTACTTAACACTCTAAATACTAACTACATTCGAAAAAGCCGTTCTAAACGAAATATTTATAGTTTGTATAAAATTGGGATACGAATCCAACTACTCAGAGCACCGGGTGTCGGCGTTGTCCCACCCGCCACGCTTAAATTTCTGTGTTTATTATACACCCAAAAAAAAGTGCACTAAACTTAAGGAAAAGTAGTATTTAATTTAAAAACCACGAAATTTTCCTAGTTTCGAGTAAAAACCTGCGTTTTCAAGTAATTATTTACATAAAATATAATGAATATAGTACTTGAAACAAATAAATTAATATTCTTAAATTGATATTAAATACGAGTTTACTATTTTTTGGGATATTGCGATGATTTTGTGTAAAACCCTTCCTTATTCCTTTAAAGAAGTAATTTTTTTTCGGTAGCTCTTCTTAAAAATAAAGAAAAAGTATTCAGTCTAAGTTGAGTTTAATGTAAGTCAATATTTACTTCCTTAAGACTTACTTAAACTTGTATGAATCTTCCTAACTTAACTTAAACCATGTTTTAAATATTACTTAAGTATACAGCGCCACACTGAGATCGGTTTCGTTTAGACGTGCAATACCATTAACGTACTACAAAAGCGCACTACCAATCCAGGATTAATACTTTTTTTTGCAGCTAATTCTGTCTCAATGGCCTTTTCCATAGCAAATTTACTCGCACGATAACCTGTATGCTTGACACTACATCAATAATAGACAACCGATTGAAATGGGGCGTTTGCATCCCTAAGGCAAACGGATAAACAACAAACATTGGGCGTGTAGAGCTGCAAGCACATCACGATCGCCACACCAGTACCGTGAGGAGAGCAGAAGCTGAATGAGTGCTGCCACTATGCCAAATTGCAATTACTGTGCGTCTATGTAAGTATGCACTTGTGTATGTATTTATGTACATATATTGCATGTTCATAGTACTTGGACTTGAAATAATTTTAAGTTGTATATTATTAATTAATTAATCCCAGCGGTTATTACCCTCCTTTCCCGCCCAGCCGACAGGAGGGGCGCAGTCCGCATGACGTACGGAACTTTATTTTTTTTTTTTTTGGTTTTTTGGTGCTGAGTAGTGGAAACAGGAGTTTGTTAAGTGTCGAGATCTAAAACTATTCAGCCACAGAATCAAATTCATAAGCTGATTGGATATGCCAAAGATAGTATTTCAATTATTGTCTTACTTGTACAACCATTGCTTTCTTCAATAAACAATAAACTAAATTATTGACAGTGAAAATGATAGTTTTCTTTGTAGTAAAAATCGAGTCCGATATGTCAAACGTGCTGGGCTGAGAGTAAAAATCTTGACATAAACAACGGAATTACTCGTTTAGTTCAAAATTAGGTTTGCATGGCTTCAAAAACAGAGGTCGAAAGTGTCTTGACACTCGAGAGTGAAAATTAAAGTTTATCTCAGCCAGAAGGGCCGGGCGATTATTCAAACCTGTCATTAATTTTACGATAAATATTATACCTAGCATTTCAATCCGACTGATGAATGTAGGCAAATTTATGAGCTTTAGACGACTTGTGTAAGAGGGGAGATTGTAGTCTGAGTCCCAGTCTCATATTTACGAATAGAATTTTGTAAATGATTGAAATATTTTTAAAAATATTTATGGTAAAAAAATCAAAACAAATGACAAAAAAGTTAACTCAGACCCAATTTTCAATGCTGCAAGACATTGCCTCATATAAGAATATAGAAATTTAACCCTGCGTTAACTAATTTTGTATTTATACTAGCAGACCCGGCGAACTTCGTTCCGCCCAAAATAATTTTTTTTTTGAATCATTTGGTCAAAGGTTTTCACCAACAATTCAATTTCACGTTTGCTTTTGTCGTTATCAAAAGGCATATCCTGCATTTCCGTCTTAAATAACCTAATGAAGTTCTCGTGGCAACAATGACCCGGTTTGATGGTAAAACGTCCTTGAATATCTATAGTACAGATGGTAAAATTTTCAAAATGGGGGAGTATTGATAATAATAATAATCATAGATTGGTGTTTGGCCCAGCTTCTCCATCGACTAGTGGCATGCGCCTTGATGTTGTCACACAAAGGGGATCTACCTACAGTTTTACGCCAGATTCGAACGAAGATTGTATTTGTATGAGAATCTGTTAGAAGTTCTTAGAAAAAAAAAAATATTTAGTTTTTTATTTATTTATTTTTTTGAATTTGGGTTGAACCGGGCTGGAACCCAAGCCATTTGTAGGCATTTATAAAGAATTTTCTTTATTCTGTTTATTCGCCGTAAAGCAAGGATTGCAATGGTGCTGGTGGTTGATTTAACGGTGGTAATTTGGCTTTGATCCCTGATGTCTCCGAATTACTTCATTTGACGATTTTTACCAATACCTCGAATCCAGCGCCACCTTGCAAACTTTTTCTTTGCAATAGTTAGATTAAATTAGATTTAGAGGAGGGAGCAGGTCACCTAGTTACCGCGACCGAAACGATCTATTGCAAAAAACCTCTATTCAACTACAGGGCATGCAATTATCAATATAAATATAAATACAATTTTTAGTAATAACTCAATTCCAGCGCCACCTGACGTTTTAAGTTGTGAACCTAAATTATACAGGGACCCACTCAAAAACATTAAAAATTGTCATTCAAACCGTTTCGGTCGTTTAGGAGGAGTTCACTCACAGACACACGTACCGAAGAATTTTTTTTTATGTATTTACAGATAAGTAAAATTTCAGTATGTGTGGAAGGCGTCACACCCCCTTCTCCAATAACCCCCACTTTTGTCCATGAGTATCGGATTGAGTTCAAATATCTCCATACCAAGAATATTCTAGAAATGGGCGTGGCTATATTAAAACCAAACTTCAAAAATTTAGACCTTTTGGTGGATTTCGCCAAATTGCCTATATGGATTGAAAAAGTTGTGGAACAAATATTGTTAACGAAGCGATATTCGGCCGAAATCCGCAATGAAATCTGTGTTTTGCCAACTTTAGTCCTACAATTGCCACGCCCATTTCTAGGGGTTTGTCGCTTTAAAGAAAAATCTTGACATACAAATATTATTCTTGGATAGGTATTCTATCGGAATCCACAATAAAATTTTACTTTTTGCAAAAACCCGATGTTTAACACCTTACTAAATATATCGCAACATAAGTTTTCGAAAACAAACTACAAAAAATTTTTGATTCTCCGTCTTGTCATAAAGAAAAGTATTTTAAATATAGTTTTTGAGAAACCCCCATTTTTTGGCCCACATTTTTTAAAGAGAATTAAAGAAAAATTACGATGGTATAATTTTAACTCCTCTATTTACTGGTCTTCACTGCAAGTCAACTTCAAAAAGTTCAGCTGTTAACAGCTAAGTTAGTTTTAGAATAATCTTGACCATCTTATATACAGAAGTATTAAGCCCGTTAGCTTTAAAACGAAATTAAGTTGAAGTCTCTGCGATGAGCACAACGCGAGATATAACGATTTGAAGAAGTACATGATTAGTCAGAATCACGAAAAAATTTAAACTTTGACAGATGGTATCTCCGAAGAAAAAAATTTCCTCGAACACATGTTAGCTTATTTCATGTACAGAACTCACATAAAAAAACTTGAAGCGAATCGGAGACATGACATAATATTTTTTTACGAAATCCGTCCGACTTAAGATTTTTCGAAAAGATCGGCCATTGGTCCATTTATCAGAAAAAAGTATTATACATATATGTTAATCCAGGAAATAAGCTACCCACATACCAAATTTCAAGCAAAGCTGACCATAAATAAGATTTTTTCGAGTAGATCGGTCTCTGATCCACCTTACGGAAAAAGGAAAATTTTCTGCCACTTAACATGGTGGCTGCTGAAAGCTATTTATGTATATACAAAATTTCATGAAAAGCAGGCTCGCCATTCGCGAGATTACCTATTATCTCAGAAACAGTTTACTGCGTTTTATGACAAACAGGAAATTTTGAGTTAACGCACTTTTGAAAAAGGCATGCGATCTATAATGAGTTATAAGAAGCTTGCTTTATTGTTAGTCACTACATTGAAGTTGCTTTGTTTGACGATTTGTCAGCACGAATCGCCAATTACTTTTCTTTGCTGTTTTTCATAGCTTTTTGTGGTATTAGAGTCTGATTACAAAATTAAGATGCGCTTAAAGTAAAGAGTCGTTTAGAAACATTGTAACATTGTATGTAAGTATTAGCGACCGTATCAAAGATGTTTAACACATAGATTAAAATCAAATGAACAGTTATACATATTTATATTTGTACATCAATACTTGGTTGCATACATATGTGTATACATATTTACCTATGAATACTCTGCAGGAAAAACCCGAACTAGTGAACCAAATTTCTAGTTCGTTCCTAGTTCTTTATCGCCAAAGCAAACAAAAAATGGTGATTTCGTTTCTACCAAAAATGTTGCCTTTTGATTGCCCCTTTCTCTTTCCGTGTTCGATTCCAAATTAAAGGCAAAGTGTGAGGAAATTTTGTGTTCGTTTCTTAAAATGTCGCACTCTTGTAAGGCAAAAAATGCACATTCTCTGCCCTGTGAACCTTTATCAGGATAGATGGTTGCCCTAAAAATTAGATGGTTGTTTAAAACGACAATATTTATTATGAAATGCGTGAGCTAGACAAGGACAAAAGGACGAAAAAAATGACTTTTTACAGGGTTAAGTGTAACATCAAACACAGGAAGGGCAACATTTTTTTGGACAGAACGAGTCCTCTTCAAAACTGTTTAGGCTCTACAACAATTTAGCTCAATAATCCATGAAAATTCCACACTTCCACAAATTCAAACCCAATTGGCCGTATGCATAAATCCTAAGTAAATGCTTTTTCTCAGAATTTCAGACCTTTTTCTCGATTTGTTCAAATAAATTTAAGCAATTGCTAGTTTTTATGCATACGGCCAAATATCTCAAGAAATATCAATATTAGCGATTTTTGTAGGAAATTGAATTTACAATTTTCCTGTAGCTCTTGTTATTTACGAGATAGGCCAAATAAAACGACAATTTCATGAAAATTTTGTTTCATTGACCCGTAATAATAATATTAAAAGCTCAAATTTCAGGGATTTTTTTTTAGGTACTTCCCACAAAATTTCGAGGTGGGAGTTAAAAAAATTGTCGCGAAAACAAAGCACCCTAATATACATACAGATATGTAATTAAATACTTTTTCAAATATGTTTTTATTTATACTCATATGTATGTATGTATGTACATTGCATGTATTTAATCACATGAAATTTTCTGAAAGGATATACATATGTACATACATATATATGTAAGCATAAAAGAAATGGCACTTAAATTAAGCAATCCTGAAATGGAAAAGTTTATTGGTAATTTGATCGGGTCGAATAGTGTAAGTACTGAATAGAAAATTTTCTTAATCCCTTTTAAAGAGTTTAAGTGACGCATTCTGCATTTAATTGCTTTTACAACTTAACACTAAAATTTATGAGGTTGCCGAAAAAATATAATTTCCAGTTCAAAAATTAACGAAATTTGTTTATAAAAAGTGGACTGAAAAGAAAATTAAATGAAATTTCGCGTTGTAGCAGGTGCAACAAACCATCTACACCCGTTCGCTTATTGCGTTGTGTCCCATCGTGCCTGCCTTCAATTCATTCTTCCGCCATTCGTTACGCAAGCAATAAACACGCCAGAATGCGACGGCGTAAATGCCGAAGGGGTTTAATTTTATAAACGTTGGCAAGAAATTCGCGTCAAGTGTGCACTCAAAGGTAAGCCACCACAACAATACAAAAATGTAAAAACAATATTAAAATAACAACAAAAACCAAAAAATAAACCGGACAGCTTAATAATCTGCTGCTGCGTCCTTATGAGTTAGAAGGTCTGGGGATTTGCATGCAGCACATAACCTAAAGCATTCATTCTAAACGCGAGCACAAACAATAAAAAAATACATTTGAAAAAACTTAAAAAGGCCAAAGGCATTGAAGGCAACAGCAGGAAACAATTGAGGACGTAAGGATTTTTTTGAATAAATTAAAAAAGCGAAAAATTCGTAAATTGAAGTCGGACAGTCGCGTGTCAATACACAATTTTGACCTACATAATTAGGCGACTGCAATTTTTTGGGCCATATCTAATATACCAAAATTTAATCTCGTAAATATGTGTACAGAGTTCTATGTATGTACGTATGTATATTCGACTGCATCACTCCCAATATTACGAAAAAATATTCAGATTTACTTGAACTGGACCGATTTGAAAATACCTCCAAAAATTAATTTTTTTATGAATAAAAATAGTTTCTTAAAATCGCTCAAATCACATAACAGTTTAAGTTTAAGTAATCTACATAAAAATATTAAAAAATTTCTTCAACGGAATCATGATAATGAGATTTTGATGCTGTTTTTCAACCTTCTTCAAAGACTGGTTTAACAAAAACTTGGATAACTCAGCCAAAACTTAGCAAATAATATTTCTCAGTCCCACAGAATTTATTTTGATAACTTTTGATTTAGAAATTTTAGCAAAAGTCTTATATACCATTTATGAGATTGAAAATGAAAAGCGTGGGTCGCATGTAATAGACCTGAACTGATATGAAACAAAACAAATTCTAAGAGACTGAGAAATATTATTTTCTAATTTTTAGCGCATTTATAAAAGCGTCGTATAGCAAAAAGTTTTATTTTATTTTATTTATTTTCTACTTTTCAGTCTTGTCTGTATAAAATTTTGCAATACATATTAAAATAATTCAACTTGCAGTGAAAAGAGAATTGATGACTACGCAAGCAAAATGTTTTGTGCTCACGTTGAATATATACATACACACATATGTACATTAGAGTGGTCCAAAAATGCATGTGAAAACGTAAAGTCGGAATTTTTATGCTATCACCCCCTCTCACTATACCGAAAAAAATATATCCCTTTTTTTATTTCGCAATAAAAAAATATTTAGAGGTCGCTCAAAGCGCCCAAAGTTTTCCATGTAAAAAACAACATTTCGTTGCAACGGTACATAATTCTTAAAAATCAATATTTTTCTTTCGCAAGACTCTGTTTATCTGCACAAGATTCCGAATAATAATACCCAATTGTTTATTCAACAATTTTTTCGTCACAACTATAATTTACAGGTCCGCCAAAAACCCATAAAAACCCCGAAAAATGCAATGGGCGGACCAAAAAAAAATCGCTGGTATTAAAAAATGGTTGAACAAACAATTGGGTATTATTATTGGGAATCTGCTGCAGAGAAACATAGTTTTCCCATCGAAAAATATTGATTTTCAAGGATTCTATACCATTTCTACGAAAAGTTTTTTTTCCCATATAAAAATACATGGAAAACTTGAGCGCTTTGAGCGACCCTAAATATTTTTTGATTTCAAAATAAAAAAACAGGGTTATAATTTTTTCGATATAGAACAATCCTTAGGGGCGAGAGCGTTACAGTTCAGACTTTACTGTTTTGGACCACCCTAATGTATATACATACATACATATTAAAAACAGGGGTATACCTTTTTCGATATAGAACAATCCTAGGGGGTGAGAGCATTACAATTCCGACTTTACTATTTTTGGATCACCCTAATGTACATACATACATATAGCCGCAACTAATTTAATTTATAGAAATGGCGTGCCGTCCATTTTCGCTGTAGCGTATGTGGTGCATATATTTAGGCGCAATATTTAATTTCTTCAGACGAGGCGATATCTAGAGTCTTCTAATTGTATGTCTTTGATATGATACCTACGATCAGGTTGATATCTAGACTAGGTTGATATCTAGACTTTGCCATTTGGTCTGGACATACAACATTGCAAGTTGATAAAAGAGTTGTAAAAAATTGGCATGTGAATGAGTTTTTTTTCCAAAGAAATAAAAAGGGTGAGAAAATACCTTTCCACTGGTACCTCAAGCCTATATCGGTATGGTTTTGACTCAGTTATTCAAGTTGTTCTTAAACAAGTCTTTGAAAAAAGTTCAAAAATGGCATCAAAAATCTCATTGTTATGATTCCGTTGAAGAATTTTTTTAATCTTAAACCGTTTTGTCATTTTTGGGATTTTAAGAAACTATTTTTATTCATAAAAAACTCCATTTCTAGAGGTATTTTCAAATCGGTCCAGCTCAAGTAAATCTTAATATTCTGCCGAAATATATAACAAATTTGGTTAACCCGGCGGAAAGTCGCAACTTTTTTAAATACATATCCTCATATGAAATACAAAAAGACGTAACAAAATCGCAACTGAAATTGAAAAAGTCGTGACTAATATTTTTATTTTTTTTTCATAAAATTATTTGGGTGTTTTAATTCGATGAAATCAATCATATAAATCAAAAAGTGAATTTTGAATTTGTTATTAGTTATGACTTTTTTTTTGAATTGCAGGTGATGATATGTATAAATGTATAAGGATTTCCATATTTTTGGCCGATTAAAAAGTATACAAAAATTAGCAGAATTTCGAGCTCAGCCGATTTAGCTATGTCGTGTGCCATTCTGTTTGAACGGAATCTAGTGTTCTTGAAATCAAACGGAAATTCATCAAGCGGGTGTATTTTTATAATGTAATAATCATTTGTTGAAGCACCGAAAACGGATCACTTACAACATCTTGCTCCCATAAAACTGATTGTTCAGGTATGAGATTTTGTGTTATAACTCTTGCATTTATGTAGTTAAGAGGAAGAAATTTCGTACTGTTTTCGCTCATTATCAATAAAAAGCTTAGAGTGAAAATTACAAAATGGGGTCAATATAATCTATAGCCTCCATAGAACCTAATTGTTCAGGTATGGAGCTTTACTTTTAAGCGCCTTCATTTGGATGGAAGCCGAGTAGTTTCGTGAGCTATTTTTGATTTATTTGCTAATTAGTCTACATAAAATATCTAAGTACTAAGAGATTCGTCAAGATCGGTGCCCTGTAAGGTACACTTTCGGTCAGCAGATTAAGTTAAGTAACATTTTGACGAGTTGTGGCTATTTTTCTTTTATTTGTTTAATGTTTAAACTCTTTTTTATACATTTTTATTTTTGCATATGTATGTATCCCAATTCATTACTAGCGAGTTCGCTAGAGCGATAAATTAATCGAAATATGTATGTAAAAAATAATTTAGTAAGCGAATGAGGTGGTATATAGTTTTAGAAGCATAAATTTTAATCATGCGTACATCATCTGAATTAATAAAAGATCATGTTCATAACAAGCGACACTTTATACTTGCATGGCTCCTTTATAGCTTTCTCTTATTGGCTTGCCTATTGACCTGATATTAAGATCAATGCGTGATCATTACGAACATAGCGGTGATCACAAAGGGCAGACACTGGCATCCCGCAGCTTATAAAGGCACCCTGGCGCAACAAATCATCGTCCCTTTGCCTTTATAAATTTACATAATTATTAGTTGTATGAACATAGGCATTATAAAAGGCATTCAACGGCTGAACGAAGATGTGTAAAATTATGTGCATACTTATATATAATGATGCTCTTCTACAAAAATATGCCTATGTATTATTTACACGTGTATCTATTAGAAACGCCCAAATATGCATACGGTAATATGTATTTAGTTTGTAATGACGTCAATTAATAAATTTCATATAATTCTCATAAATGTATTTGAATATGTTTATGTAAAATACGCCAAAATTACAGCAAGCTTCCGGGAATTAAGTTAAGTACATATTTAATAGCGATTTCGCTCAAAATTGAATGGCTTATGATATTTGGCTCATCTGTTATTCCAGGGGATATGTATGCTAAGGCAGTGGTCATATGAATAATGACTATTAATTTTTATCACTCCATAACCACCATACCCGCTCGTGATGAAATCAAGTCCTTGTATACTTAGTGCTTCCAACACAGATGAGGCCTTCTTCTTTCCTTGCCAATACCGGCATCATTATTGCCAATACGCAAAGGTTCTTAACCGTTATCCAGAATTTCTCTCTTGAAAAACCTAAGATCCTTTTCATTAGATGTTGTTATCGACCATGCTTCTGCGTAATGCAAAGCAGTAGATTTATTTTGTGTAATTTTAGTTTGCCGAGAGATAGTTTTAGCTATCAATTGCTTACTCATTTCAAAATAAAAAAATAGTTGTCTAACGAGATTCTACTCTGGATTCCGAGACTTACATTAGTACAAGTATAAATTTCCACTTACTCCCACTTAAATAAAATTCTCTACGACCTCAAAAGCGTACTAGTTAACAATTAACCTAGTTCCCATGACAGCTGGTTTGTTGTACCGGAATGATCGCGTTTCACCCGATAAAGCAATCTAACTCGGTTTAAATACCACAGGTTGTTATCCTCTCCCTTCTGAAGTTTAATTTTTAAAAACGAAGTCAGTTCCGATATTGAATTATCTACGAATTCAGGGGGTACTTTTGACAGCCTGAGGCCCGCAGAGGGGTTCGCGAGTCGCGCGCAACTGAACAGCCTCTTATTAGTAACAGAAGCTCCTCTTAGGCAAGTCAGAATGCACCACTAAACTGACGGACGAAATCCAGAATTACATGCAACAACCATTGTACTTAACGCTGTACAGACAACGACATTTACAGAGAGACTATTACAACCTTCTCCCACGCATAACCTTTAGGTGAATGCCGTCATCGGAGTGCAACCACATGCCAAGGTATGTCGAGCTT